CCCACATACTGCATGTAACCTGACTTGCTTTTACATGTAATAATTCCTTCAGTAATTTTCATTTATTTAAGGTCACCCGGGAAGCTAAATTCCTTGTCTCAACTTGATATCAGTGATCTAAACAGAAAGAAACAAGAGATGCAAAAATCTACGCACATTTGTTTTTCTTAAATTGCCAATGCCGAATTATTTGGAGAACAGTGACTATCCATTTATCATCCGTTCACTGCCTCTTGGAAAATTTAGCTCACTAATGCATTCATAGATGAGTGTACACACAAATAACCTGACTATTTAGCAGCCTTATCAACATGAAGTGAATGATCTACTGTAATCATACTAGAGCCTAAAGCCCAGACCCCTTTCATGTCCTGCTCAATACACCCCGCCCCCCTTCTGCCCGCACCCCCGGATGCCCCACGCCAACCTTCCCGTGTACACACAATGGCACCAATTTAAATGCAAATCCTGACATTCCCATCACTCAACCACATGACGTCTGTTTTACCAAAAGCCTGGTCGCGTTGGCCAAGATCTTAGCAAACAGAGCTGCGCAACTGTTCATCTCATCTATGTTGAAAATATGGGGGGAACATGGTTGATCACTGCGGAAAAAATATTCGTTGTACGAGAGACTAGAGCAGGGGTGTCAAACATACGGCCCGCGGGCCGGATCCGGCCCGCAAAGGAGTTTGATCCAGCCCGCGAGATGATTATGTAAAGCATCGGTGTCAAACATACGGCCCGCGGGCCGGAACCGGCCCGCAAGTAGGTTCAATCAGGCCCGCAGGATAATGTAAAAGTGAAAAAAATGCATTAAAGACACAGAATTAATATTTTTAATCAGGTGCAATTCATTGAGTATCCGCAAGGGGACACTGTTTTGATCAGAGAAGAAGACAACAGCAGCCTCAGTCTGTCACTGAGACAGACCCATGACAGCAGACGCTATCAATAGCACTCTCACATTTACACATTTAATAGCACTCTCCTTAGTTTGTAAGGTGTAGGCAGGGATTACATTTAGATTTTATATGCACGTGTAAATGCTTTAAAACTTGCTTTCTTTATGAATCTTGTTTAATCTTAAAGTGCATTACTATATTTTTCAATACCAATTACTTGTTAAAGTTTGTACAATCAGTGGGATCAGTTGCAATGCATATATGTGAATGATAAAAGTAAATTGCACATTTGTCGAAGGAAATGTAAGGTGCTTCATGAAATGTTTTGTAAAAGATATGTTCATTAAATTTCAACATTTTCCTAATGTTCTTGTGCTTCTTTATACCAAAACAAAGGAAAGACATATTGTTTTGGTTATTTATAGCAAAGTATTGTATCATTTTAATGGTCCGGCCCACTTGACATCTACCGAGGCCGTTTGTGGCCCACCATGTGAAATGAGTTTGACACCCCTGGACTAGAGGGAATGATGATCCTGAGATTGTTTTGTTTATTATCTTCCTTCTGTAATAACAGAGATATGAAACTCTTGATGATGACCTCAGAGAATAGAAGTGTGTTTCCTATGGAAGCACTTATTTTGAAAGCTCAGAGTGATAGTTTTTAAAAGATGCCTTGCAATCATTTGAATTTAGGCTTTACCGGCCCCTCTGTTTTGTGGTTAATGGTCTCCCAGGTTTGTACTTTCTGAACTTTTTTTTTGTTATACATGTTCTGTCAAAATTTTTGTTTACATTGGACAAAATGACAAAATTTGGGCACACTCAAGAAGGGGGTATCCATTCAAATGTGCTGCATTTAACCTTGTTGTCTAGCAATGTTTCTATTCTTCACTCTAACCTCATTTTTGGGTTCCTGTTGAATGTAAATTTAGACTGCCATAGTTCCTCGCTCATTATCGGATAATTCCTTTTTCCATCTAGCTGAAGTGGCGATATACAGTGATATCTTATTTCATTGCTCAAGCAATTTGCATTGTATCAATTCCACCAGCAGTAGAATCTGACTCTAACCATCTAACTATAAAAGCTGGTGTCATGCCGCGAGGCAAAATGAAGGGAAAATCTCATCAGAGGAATGCAGAAAATATCCAGCAAGATGCATGCCGGGGAAAACCCATGCAAATGCATAATTGACATAAAATTCATGAAAGCTTGATCTCTCATTGGAATTCTTTGCCAACCAGCACCGTTGGCCACCATTTTGTTGCACAACCAAACCGCTGTACATCAAAAGTTATGATGCGGAAAATGTGAGATGGATCATGTCGTAAAATAAACAAAGCTCATACTGTGACACGAACAGGAAGATGATGAAAGTGTATCATCCGGATTTAAGTCCTTTCCTCAAACTTTTCTCTGCCAGCACCCCGGTGTCATGAAATCATGACTACAAATACAGTTGCTAAAAAAAGTAAGTGAAAACTTTTGGAATAACCTTCATTGCTGTGTAAATTGGTCACAAAATATGATCTGATTATCGTCCCCGTCAGCGTTAGACAAACACAGTTTTCCTTAACTAATATCATGCAAACAACGTGTTTTGATTGAAGGCATCATGCAAACAACAGTACCTGTATGTGAACCTTTGGATGTGATGAATGGTTGAGCGTTTGGGAGCCAGCTTCAACCAAACAGTTTCAGATCAGACCTGCTATGGTCCTGAGGAATTTTCAGCAATATTCTTGGCACTTCTGGTGTGAATCGCTCTGTTGAGGTCATGGGACTGGTCTGACTGGACTACTCCGAAGGCCCATTTTCTTCTGTTAATTAAAGTCATTGAGTTGTTCATTTTCTTTTGTGCTTTGAGTCATTGTGTGGCACTAAGCTTCGAATGGCGGCCGGACGGTTTTAAATTTTCCTGCAAAATATCCGATTAAACTTGGAAAATGAATTCTTCCTTTAATAATACAATCCATTTAGGCCCTCAGGAAGCAAAGCAGTCTCAAACGATCATACCTCCTCTGTGATACGTAATAGTCGGGATGAGGTTTTAAAGTAGTGTGTCTTGCCTTTTGTTCTTCACACACAGTGTTGTGCATTCCTTCTAAACAATTCAACTTTTGTTCTGTCTGTCCACACAATCATATGCCAGTAGCGCTGTGAAACATTGAATTCGACTTGTGCAAACTTCAAACCTGCAGGAGTTTTTATTTATTTATTGATTGACTTATTGATTGATGTATCTATTTATGTTTAACAACAGTGTCTTCCTCCATGGCGTCTTCCCATGACATCCATCTTATTCAGTTATACTAATTGCAGAATTGGCAATAGAGATGTTGCATCAGACACTTCTGCCGGATTGTAATTGACCTCATTGAGCATTCTGTGCTGTGTAATCTGAGGGAGAGAAAGAAAAGTGTTGAACTTCTTAAATTTTTTTGAGGGTTTGTCTACCCCTAGACCAATGGACGTCAAAGCTTTAGAGATACTCTTGCAACTAATTATAGCTACATGCAGGTTAACTATTCTTAACTCATTCACTCCCAAAGACGTATTTAGATGTCTTTTCAGATCTCTTCAGACCCTTTTCAAGTATAGTCAATATAAAATGAGGAGCTGGGATTAAATATGTGGCGTCTGAAAAGACATCGAAATACGTCTTTGGGAGTGAATGAGTTAATAGTAGAGCTTCAAAGAGTTCTTTGATACCAGACATGGTTCACATCGAGAAATGCTTCTTGAGAAGAGCAAACTCTAAACTGTTTGTTTTTTTTTTTTGGTTTGTTTTTTTTTTTTCAATTTAATAAGACAGAACAGTTTTAATAAAGACCTCCAACTTATCACTTTGATTGAAGCCTAGGTTGGCTGACTCTCAACCAGCCCCTGGAGAAGTCATCAGCCTCAGGTTTCACATGCTTTTCTCACCCGGCACTCGGAATTATTTACATGTTGTGTCAAAAAAAATAAATAAATAAATAAATAAATAAAAACACGTTATTGTTTGTCTGGTCTTAAACTATATATTTGTGTGACTTAGATGAACACCAGCTCACATTTTATGACCATTTTTATAATAGAAAATCAGGTACTGCCTGCACTTTTCCTGTCTGCAGTTGTATTCATTCGACTCATGTTACTAGAAACTAGACGGCATGTTTGGGTTTACTCGACTGTGGCACTACATTCAATTCGGCATTCAGTTTGATTTTCTCCATTGTCCTTTTTTTGAGAATGGGAGGGAAGTTGAAGTTTTAATTTCAGCTTGCATGTCCTTTTGAATGAAGAGAAGTTGATTTACAAAAATCCAGCCATTGAAAAAAAAATAACCACAGAAGCTGCATCCTCTGACTAACAGTTTTGGCAGGACTAGTGCATAGATATTGATGGGAAAACTGAAGTGATTTTGCCCATCATTAAAAAGGAAAAAAAAAAAACAACAATACGAAATGGCAGACATGATGTCTAATATTAAAGTCATATTAAATGTTTTTTTCAGGGATGGACCATTTATCGTCCAGTCCGTTAAGCAAATTGGCATCTGCCTGTTTAAAAATGGTGACAGCCAATAAGAGCTCAATCTCAAATCTGGCTATTTTGGTGCTGGATCATCTTTGTTGTATTGAAATTTTGGAACACTTGAGGTACTGTGGAAAATGTTAGGGAGCTAATCATTAAAGTCTTAAATGATTACCTCACCAACATTTTATACACAATACTGAAGAACCACGGGTGGTCCCATAATTTTTTTCATGACGGTTTGCACAAACAATTTTGCAATATTGTTCTTCCTGATTTGTTTCATTTAAACATTTTATTGAGCAAAAAAATGTTTAAACAAACAGAACTTTTCTACCACTCTCTCACTACTTAGGAACAGATTCCAAACTCATACAGTATTTGTGTCTCTCTATTGTATCTTCCTGACACCCACATTCTTTCACCTCGCTTTCACCCCCTCATTAGTCATTGGCCTCAGTTTCCTCCGTCTCTCTGACGAGCTAATTTTGCTCTGAGCCAAATCGCGGTCCCCCTGTATTTAGCCCTCCTATCCCTCTGATCTTGATTGTCCTCTCTCTCTGTGTGTTCTAGAGGCTACCCAGATGAGCCCATCGATACAGAGCATGTTGATGACCGCCACACGTACATCCATGGCATATATTGTGCGCCACTGGCGCAGCCAGAGCGAGGGAGCATGGCCAGTCTGGACCGTATGGGTGGTCGACGTTCACCCTCAATTGACAGCATTCGTAAGGATCCGCGTTGGCGTGACCCAGATCTACCAGAAGTCATTGCCATGTTGGGCCACCCCATCGATCCTGTCAAATCCAATGCTGCTGCCTATTTGCAGCACCTGTGCTATGAAAACGATAAAATCAAAAAGGATGTGCGCCAGCTGAAGGGAATTCCTGTTCTGGTGGGGCTCCTGGACCACCCCAAGTCTGAGGTCCACCGCAAGGCTTGTGGAGCCTTGCGCAACATCTCCTATGGCAAGGACAATGACAATAAGGTGGCCATCAAAAATTGCGATGGCATTCCTGCCCTCATTCGCCTCCTGAGGAAGACGAATGACATGGAGGTTCGAGAGCTCATCACTGGTAAGAGAACCGTTTATTTGTTTCATTTAAAAGAAAGTGCACAAATGTAACTTCTTTTTTTCATTACATTATGAATTCATTTTATTTTACAAACCGAGCAAATGAGATGTCATCTTGGGCGTTTGCAGAGGTCATGGCTCCGTTTAAGCACATGGCAGTAGTATGTGGTGTGAACTCTTTGCTGTAACAAAATTACTTTATTGGTTTTCACCATCTCCACAAAATTTAGCATGTTCGCAGCTCATCTTATTGTTAACATTATTTCCACCTAGATCATTTTTAATTCTTTTTTTTCCTTAACATGCTGTATGTATTTGCTTCAGGTTGGTTAATGCTTCCGTTGAAACGTAAGCCCTCGAGATCGTATTTCTCAAAGCCGCATATGCAACCATCACAGAGACAGCAAATGCATCAAATCAACACCCAACAAAGAAATTAATCATTGCTCAACATCACGGAGCAAAAGATCAGGAGCATCACAAATGAACTTAAAACTAGTTTGTCATTACAGAGTTGGTGAGTTTTGGATCTTGAAGCACTTAAAATAATTGACAATGTCTATATGACCTTGTCAGCATGTTTGAGAATTAATGAAGTTATGCTGCTGCCATCTTTCTAATTAGGACATGCCCTTGGTTTTTCTGTGAGATTTTTCTTTTTTTTTTGCAAGATTTGTATTCTGACTCTCAAGTTATTTCTGCTTTGTTTTCAGTTTTCCTGTCTCAACCATAACCTTGCATTGTTGTTTTGTGATGCTTTTCCCGACTTTCACTTCAGCCTCGTTCGTTTTTTTAAATTTTTTTGGGGGGCGGGGGGGGGGGTTATTCCATTTAGTCTCCTCTTTGGGAGATCAAATGCAAGTGTACAAAGTGTGCATGTGTGTTTATTTTGACAGGGATGTCATGGTGAGTGATGACTTTGGCACAGCAGAGATAATTGCCTTTATAACGCTGCATTGCATTTGCTAAAAATAACCCCGAAACACAAGACATAGTGAAAGGAATGGAGGGGAACCTTTTTTTGTTTTTTCTACTGCTTTTGCTCTCATTTCCTTTCTCGTCTTTTTCTCCTCTCCATTCATTTCCTCCACGTTTGATTTCGCGTATTGCAGTTTCCCAAGCTTCAGGTTTCCCTCTCCAACGAAAAAGGCTTGTCATAATGCAAGCTCAGCTTGCAGCCCCAGACCATCTGGCCAGCATTCGTCAGGTTTTCTTCTAGAATTACATATAATTGAGGGGTTTTAAATATAGAATTCTTTTTTTAGTATTCGTTTCATAAGAATTGGATGTAGGAGTGGTCTGTGACTGTAAAACCACAGAGTTATTCTTCATCCTGCCGCGGAAAGTGATGATGCGGACGTTTGTGTGTTTTCCACATCGGAGGACCCAATCATTTCTTTTTTATTGAGCCTTGTCCATCACACTTCTTTTTATTTTCATCTTCTTAGGCTTCTGTGGTGTTCATTTCCACCAACATGTCGTATGAATTATTCTTTTTTTTATGGACTCTTCCATCAAAGTATTGGCAAAACCATCGTTGTCGGTAAGCGAATGCTGCATTCATGTCAGTTTGTCAGTGTTCAAAAAAATCGCAAATGTTCCTGAAACAGATGTTCACCAACAGTTTTAGCAGGGCAATATATGAATTGAAATCCGTAAAACAATTGTTGCCTGAAATCGATCGGCCTTACTTTAAATGCACAAAAGCTCTTCAATAATAATCAGTAAAACATTTGTGTTCTCCTCCCTCCTGAACATATGAATGAAAAGCTGCATTCGTCAAACCAATACCTTAGTGGTGACATGGATCCACTGATCTTTGCAACACGAGTAAGGCACAATTTCCTTGATACTTTACATCAGGGGTGCCCATTACGTCTATCGCCATCGACCGATAGATTGCGGACTGGTCCCAAGTCGATCGCGAGGGGTGTAGAGGAGGAAAAAAAACAAACAGCCATTTGTGGTCTTATTGCAGTGTACATTGTCTTAATGTACACTGCACCCTAATCATCCTTTCAGTCTCATTTTCACAAAAGTATTTAAAAAATAAAATAAAATAAAGCAGGTAAATCTTTAACCTACGGTGGCGCGTGAACTACGTCACCTGAAGTTGTTAGCGCTCAGCAGTCTGCAATTGCAGCTCGTGATCAGAACTGTTGCGCTATATCTTTTATCGTCATTATTCTCATTCAGAGTTTGTTTCGTGGACAATTCACCGAGGGCACGGACAAAGAATAGGAATCTAGAGGGCCGAGGGAAGCACTTTAAAATGGTACGTGTGAGCTACGATAGTTAACAGGCTGCAAAAGTGCGTCGCATGCCTCCGTTTCAGGCTGTTGCTCATCATGGCGTGCGTGTGTATATGCGTGCGCGTGGGCGGTAATGGATCGATCTTGGGAGGTTGGTTGATTGAAAAGTCGATCTTTGGTCCAAAAAGTTTGGGCACCCCTGCTTTAGATGGATTAATGCTGCTTAAAATGAGATTGCAAACTCATGACCAATCTGCACTGTATAATCGACAGTAATAAACCACTTTTACCTTTTACCACCTTATAATGATTACCTCCAAGTTCTCAGTTTAACAAAAAATAAATTTTAAAAAAACAGAGAACTAATAAGTCTGTCTTAATTCTTAACAAATTTTGGATTAAATGCTCTGACCCTAATGCATGAAACACATTTATGGCAAAAACATTAAAAAATGAAAAAGCATTTAGATAAAGCTTCTACATCTTGTTTGTTGTGACAGGCTCCTTTCCTCTGAGGTTGAGTCAGGGAAGGAATGGGTGGGGGGAGGGGGACGTTAATAAGCAGGCCAAATGTAATAGCTGAGCCAGAGGAGCATAATTTCTGTCTGTGCTCCTCATATAATGTAATTAGTTGTAACCTCAGCTCCTGTGCCATTTCCCGGTCTATGTTCACACAAACCCCAGGCATCGAAGAGAGGGACTAAGCAGAGAAAGTCATCTTAAGCCCACTCAAGCTCTGCTTTTCGTGACACACATTGCTGGTTGCATCCCAGTTTTAACTTTACATTGGCAACCAGGTAGTTTACCCTGTCAAATGTTTCAGATATAAAATAAAACAAGCTTTGAATTTAGATTTGACTGACAGAGATTTTAATCTCTTGTCACCAAAGCTCATCTGTTGGCAAATGAAACACTTCATCATTCTCCGAGAAAACACTCCCACCTCTGGCAGAACTTCACCTACGTTCCGAGGCTAGGCGGGAGACGTTGACTCTCGCTAGACCGAGTTCCACACCTCTGTTGTTGAGATGGCCGAGCGGAGTTTGTGCCCATAAAGTTGTTGATGCCTGTCATTGCAGCAACCCTTGAACCCGTTGGTAGACACCAGCTGTGAGGGGATGCCATCAAACTGAAGAAGGAGTCCTGTCGAGCCTTTTTGGCCTGTGGGACTCTTGAAGCAGCTGGCCAAGTGGAATATCCCTTTGGTGGTCGCAGAGGTTAAAACTTGGGCGTAGGAGTAGTTCAGTGAGGCAGTGGAAAGATTTTCCAAACTTCAGAGAAAATGTTGATCCATCATCTGTCATCTCAGTAGGGGGGAGCATTGCACCATCAACACTATGTACAGTTGGGATGGGGTGCTGCTGACCTCAAATCGGGAGGTTGTGAGTCGGTGAGGAGAATACTTCAATTCCACCAACATACCTTCCATAAGGAAACAGAGTCTGAGTTGGTAAAAAAGCATCTCGGTGCCAGGGCCCCAGGGTGGACGACATATGTCCGGACTTCCTAGAGTCTTTGGATGTTGTGGGGCTGTCCTGGTAGACGTTGCATTGCCATCGGGAAGAGTGCTTCTTGTTTTGGCAACAAGGGGTAGTGGTCACTCTTTTTAAGGATGGAGACTGGAGGCTTTGTTCCAACTGCAGGGGGTTCACACGCCTCAGCCTCTCTGGTAAGGTCTATTCAGGGTTGCTGGAGAGCCGCATCCATCGGGAAGTCAAACATCACATTCATGAGGAGCAGGGTGGTTTTTGTCCTGGCTATGGGACAGTGGACGCGCTCCCCACTCTCGGCAGGGTCCTCTGGTGTGCATGGGAGTTTGCCCAAACATGTGTTTTGTGGACTTGGAAAAGGCATTCAACCGTGTCCCTCTGGGACTTATTTTGGAGGTGCCTCGGGAGTACGAAAAGAAGGTCCGACTGTTACGGGCTGTTTGGAACCAGTATAACCAATGTCAGAGTTTGGTCCGCATTATTGGCAACAAGTTGGCTTCATTTTTGGTGAGGGTGGGACTCCGCCTAAATTGCCCTTGGGCATTGATTCTGCTCATCACCCTTATGGAGAGACCTTTCAAGTGCAGCCAAGGTGTAGAGGGGGCCCAATTTGGTCAGCATCATAAATGACAATCTCCTCTCAATTACCTTACCTTCGTCAAAAAAGCTAAATGCTTAAAGCTTAAGTTGATTTAATAAGGTAAAGAAATTCTAAAAGTGGGTTACTTTTGAGCATTTCTGAATAGTGTAGTGTCGATTTATCTCATTCAATTCTGTGGAGCCAAAGACTCATGCAAATAGTGTCTGTGTCTGAGTCACTGTAGGAGTTTTGATTGCTTTCAATAATCAAATGTTTCTTGCCAAACATATTTCTTTGCAGCATCCAGTTTCTTTCCATTCTCATCATTCTTCACTGCTTGTCTTCCTAAGGCCAACTGGCTGCTCATATGTTGACTGCCTGTTGAGTGGTGCTTGTCACAACGAAAACTGATGCCAGTGTCACAACTGCGCAAGTAATCCAACCTGGCAGTCAGCCGTGAATGTTTGTTTGTCATCTTATTGACATTGCCTGGAGGACCACATTATTCATGTGATTTAAGTGTGGATGATCATACCCACTCTTGAACACCCTTGTGCATTTTGTCGAAAGATATTAACATTGACTCTTGAACACAGATGATAATGCAAGGGTGTAGGTTGAATCCTGTTGATAAGATGTCTACAACGGAATCTCATCCACCCAACCCAGACGTACGCACATAATCACACACACACACACACACACACACACACACACACACACACACACACACTCTCTCTCTCTCACTAAGAACTTGTTTTAGCTTACTCCGGATAAGATTGTCAGTTTTATGCCCCCTAAATGTAACAGCACGTGTGATAAGTGATGACAGACACTCAAACAAACCTGAGTGAGTTAATAATAGTAAACCTTCCAAACATGGATCTCCAACAGTTTTTGTTGCTCCTTATTTAAAGAAGCATACAAAAACGGCACCCTAATTTCCACAAACTTAGTGGAAGGTAGGAGCCTACACCAAGAGAGATCCAATTCTATTCATTCAATTATGTAGAGGTGATATCCTTGCTTCCGATAGAGAACATATTGTGTTGAATACAGACCCTGGATCAGAATTCTGGTTGTGTTTATTTTTTTTAGCTTTTTTTTTTTTTAACACAAAGATTACTGTATATAAATAAACGATGCGATATATCGCCTATGATCGCATGCTGATAGGCAGCTAAACCCACACAGAAAAATGCTAGTGACCTTGCAGAGCTACTGTGGAAAGCAGGTAACATCAGAGCAGGCTTATGAGCACCCCACCATTGTATTCTCTGCCTCAATTGGATTTTCGGCCAATATTGACATGCTTTTGAGTGTGATCATAACGTTTGTCCTACTCGACAGCTGTTATTATAGTGAATCGTCACTCTTTGTATCCCCCCCCCCCCCCTGAATGTCCTTTTTTTTCCTTTCACTTTCAATCTTTTTGGCTGATCCCCTCTCCTCTTTTTTATTGCATGTTTCATCTATAATCCTCTTTCTTTATTGCCTATTTATTTTCCCTCATCTTTACCATCTGTTTCTTCTCTGTACCACCCCACCCTCCAATAGGGACTCTTTGGAACCTGTCCTCCTACGAACCCTTGAAGATGGTCATCATAAACCACGGTCTCCAAACAATGACCAATGAGGTCATTATCCCACACTCCGGATGGGAGCATGAACCAAACGAGGACTCGAAGCCACGTGATGCAGAATGGACCACCGTCTTCAAAAACACTTCGGGGTGCTTGAGGTAGAGTCACCCATTCACTCAAGAATGAGACAAGCATTGCTTTGAGGTTTTGTTCATTTGCATTTCTGCTGTTTTGGACATTAAGTCAAACATTGATTCAAATTTGCTCACCAGTAGACAAATTTAAAGGCATTTGGGTTTTGGGGGGGATAGAAAGCTGTGGTTCGTGTCCCGCTTTTGTTTGTCAGTCCACAGAAGGATTACAAACTGAGCCTTGAAACAATTCTTGACACCACCTGAGCCTTCCACCTTAGATTTAGATTCCCCCACTTCACTATCACATAGCGTGTCACTGCAACCCAGGTGGTGCCACAGCTGCCAACACATCCAACGTGAATTATTGTTTATCTGCTGAAGCAAGTGTACTGGCAATCACCAATCCTTACTCACTCACCATCTTCTCAAGTCTTTTACCCCCCGACATTGTATCATTATATTTCATACGGCAAATTTTAAATTTTACACATGTCGTGTACTATTTTTTATTTTGGCATGCCAGATGTAATGGGCTAATGTCACACTCTACACACAGACAAGCACAAATAATTTAGAAAAACACAATAGGTATCACAATCGGTCATGAGTCCGTGTGATATGATGTGTTGTCATATTTTCATATCATATGGATTTATTCTATATGGTCACTGGTGATGAAGTTGGTCACACAGCTGACTTTCACACAGCCAGACAGAACACCTGAGTGACCGCGGGGTTTGATGTGTGGATGTGAGTGTGACTGTTTGTCTGTCTTCATGTACCCTTCCACTGACCTGCGGGTTGGAACTTGTCATTTGACCACAAATCATCTTGGACTGGTAACATAAAAAAATAAAATAAAAATCAAGAGATGGGTTATAGACATCACTGACATTGCAGTGGCTGAAGCGCGAAATGTCCGTGGGTTCAATTCCCACTCTCTGACAACGTGAATGTGAGGGTTATGTCTCTCAAAACCCCTTGTGATGAACTCAGGAGTTGCCAAACCCATATTTGTCGTGGGCCACATTTTAGTTACCTTTTCCATTGGAGCACCATTATGACTGAAACCATATCAAGAAGTCAGGAATAACGGTTTATTCTAACTATTAACTATTACTAATAACTATTGTCTAAGTTGCTTTAATGAGGGGTTTCATAACAAGATAATGCTTACTGGGCCTTGATTTTGACACCCGTGGATTAATTGGTGACCAGTCATGGGTCTAGTCTGCCTTTCGCCGGAAATCCACTTCCTGTAACTTTGAATAGGATAAGCGGTTGGATGAATGGGGGCGTTATATGATGTTTTCTTTTCTTTTTTTTAAATATATAAACAAGTAACAGAAAATATCGTCATAGAAAGCAAACAAAAATCTACAAAACCACATTCAAAAGAATATTTTACCCTCTCTGCCTCCTTGTATGCTTGCACACAGTTTTCGTTATTCGTCTTCAAATTGAAACTTTCGAGCGACCATCTCAAAGCCACTTTGTGTGTGGGTGTGGGATGTCGGTTCGTGTGTGTCTGTTTGGATTATAATGCCTCATGCCTGACCGTGCTTGCCAAGCTTGTCTAGACTGTATTCTGGATCTGAACATATTGCAGCGGGCAATGCTTCATCTCACTGGTTTACATTTACAACATACAGGCAGTCAGAAAGTACCTCACTGACTCTCCTCTCAAAGACACCCTTGAAGCCCCCCCCCACACCCACACACCCACAAATCAATCAATCAATAAAACATCTTGCTGTTCTTGAGAACCAAGAGAGAATCAATGAAAGTTCTCAGATGTAGTTTGAAAAAGTTACACCAAAAGCATTGCTGTTTTTACTTCATTTAACATGAGTTACGACCTCTGCCTTTTTCCACATATGTGCATTTGTCAGCTTCTCTACAAACACAAGCACTCGTTACCCCTACCCCATATGTTAGCGCTGGCAGAAAACACACAGAGTCTTCCTGTCAATCTCCCTCGCCCGACAATTAATGCAGGCAGCGCTGCTGAGAAAATGGCTCCATGGTAACTGCAAGCAAGCCTGCAGTTTCCTCGACGCAGAGTTAGTGCCTTGGGAAGAAGTGCTGATGCCAGAGGGAATTTGTTTACTCACACCACATCAGAGACGTCACACAGTTCCTTTTGACTGAAATTTTCATTGTATTAAAAAGCATCCTCCATTGATGTGTTTGATGTCCCGTCTAACTGCAAAGAGGGAACGAACATGTTCCATATCTTCTTTTTGTCCGGGTAGACTGTTTACAAGATTTGGAAGTGAGTGTTATTGGGAAATTGTTGTCTGTTCATTTCGATTTTGTGAGGATGAGAGGGACAGACATTCCGTCTCCGTTTCAGTTCATGTCAAAGATGTTTGCGGGGGGTGCTTCTAAAAATTGTTTGCACCACATTTGATCCATAAAATTGTACATCATATGAAAATGAAGACTTAAGATTGACCAATGAGCCTAAGCCACCCCTGAACGTGTCTCGAGATTTCTGCCCAATTATTTAACCTTGTACCAGTTTGCATGAATTGCACATACAGGGTTTTTCCACACTCACTTACATTAATGGCAGAGATGGGGAGGGGCTCCAACCATCCCAGTCTGCCTCCATCAGTGACTCCCCAGTTTATTCCCAGCTGCTTTTCTCCAGAGCAGCTGATAGCCTCATAACTGTGCAGTACCGGAACTAGGGTCATTAGCTACACCTACTGAGATTCAATACAAGACATTTATAAAACAACATTTACAGACAAATGTACTGTACCGTGTCCTGATTGACGGAGGAGACATACAGTATCTTCATTTGAACAATGGAGATGTATGATTCGTATTGTGACAGCACCATGACGTAGTCGTTGGCATGTCTGCATCCTTGTGCGAAGTCTACATGTTGCTTCCATGATTTTTTTTTTCACCCCCATTCCTCCGACTTGCTCCCACATTGCAGAAATATGCTTGGCAGAGATGGGGAGGGGCTCCAACCATCCCAGTCAGCCTCCATCAGTGACTCCCCAGAGTCAGAGACAGAGTCAGAGCTGCTTTTCTCCAGAGCAGCTGATCGCCTCATAACTGTGCAGTACCGGAACTAGGGTCATTAGCTACACCTACTGAGATTCAATACAAGACATTTATAAAACAACATTTACAGACAAATGTACTGTACCGTGTCCTGATTGACGGAAGAGATGTACAGTATGTTCATTTGAACAATGGAGATGTATGATTCGTATTGTGGCAGCACCATGACGTAGTAGTTGGCATGTCTGCATCCTTGTGCGTAGTCTACATGTTGCTTCCATGATTTTTTTTTTTCACCCCCATTCCTCCGACTTGCTCCCACATTGCAGAAATATGCTTGGTAGGTTAACTGAAGATTTTAAATCAGTGGTGTCAGTCTCATTTTTGTCACGGGCTTCGTTGAAGTTATGGTTTCCCTCTGAAGGCTGTTATGACTGTGAAAGCATACAAGTTTTATCATATCAATGGTTCACAAAAAAAAAAAAAATCATGGATAACTACTTTTGAAATCGAGACGTCAAGAATTTGTTCAACTATTTTTCAAGTTACTGTCATAACGTACCAAGAAAATGCTTGCGAAAGCTTGACCTTAGTACATATTTCAAATGATAGTTTGAAAGTTGACATGCTTGATTTGCTTTCGTGGGTCACATAAAATGATGCGACAGGGCAGATATGGCGCCTGCTCTTTGCTCTAAACTGTCCATCGGTGTGAATGTGTGTGGATGGATGGATTGATATTCACATCGTGTTTTGAGCTTGTGGGGAACTATATTCCACATTATTTAACTAGTAATGCACTCTAAATGTTTTATAATCACCTTAGTGACTCATCCAACATCTATTGCCAAACAGGAGTAATGGAATTGACCAAGGGTGGCACATTACTGGTTGAAATGCCTTCCGGCCTTGCTAGAGCTGTAGCATCCAATATAAATACAATATAACATTTGCCGTCCTACCTTTAGGTAGAATTGATGCGGCAATTTACAGTTGCTGTTTTTCCACAGTAAAGTGACACCAAGCCAGTGACAAATGAGCTTTCCATTTGCAGTGAACAGTAAAAATGCTGATGCAAGCTCACAACCTGCTCTGAGTTGATGAAAAGAATTAAAAGCCTATGTCTTTTCATCCACAGCTGCACTGCACCATCTGCCTCGTTTTGCAGGGAATGCTGATACATAAAATATATTACAACACAAAAGCTTTCGATAAAACCTACATTTAACAATTTTGTATGTTGAATGCACCTTACTATAAGTCGAAATAACTGAAAACGTGGGATTAGTTTCATAATAATTGTGAATGTCCAACCATATTCTACCACTGAAATCAGTAACCTTGGGTATCCAGGGTCTGATGTAACCCAATCAGAACCTACATATTACGCCTCCAGGTCACCTCTCCAGGGACCGCAGCTATCTGCTTTCTTAAATGACAGATGCACGATCCATAATCCTTCCAGGGAAGACAACTGTCTCCCCAAAAGACTGCTAAAAATGGAACAGCTGGCCGTAAAACTCAGTCTGTCTGCTCCCAAACACACGCCTGTCAAATAAATCCAAGGTGCGTGCTCCTCGGATTCATTTACAGGAGTACTCGAGACCATTGTCTGACAGCTGAACACTGCTAAAACCGCTTCATTGAAGACATTGGCAGACATGCTCATAAACTGGCCAACTCATCACAGTCAACAGTCACAGATGATGTGGCTGTGATTTTGATTTGAGGAGTTTGGAATTTTGGAGATGTGGAATTCTGCACTGTGTATGTGCTACATATACACTGCTCTCTTTCTCTCTCTCTCTCTCTCTCTTTCTCTCTCTCTCTCGCTCTCTCTCTCTCTCTCTCTCTCTCTCTCTCTCGTACCCATTATATGTTTATATTGAACCCAAAGTCACGTGCAGTGGCGTTGGCTGTGATGTGCACTGCTGCTTGCTGTTGCAATACTGCCTGTATCTCTTTTCCAGGATTTAACCGGGCTTGTCTAACGGGATTATGCATCTTGGATGCTCTCGTAAGTGAAATCACATGTGGGAGCTCAATCAATCGTTTAACCTTTCGCCATGCCTTTCCTTTTACAGTCAGTTAGGAAACAACATCTCTGGATATGACAAGAGTGGAAATTCTCTTTGTACTGCAAATTTCCCTCTTCGACTGATGTCAAAGACTTGTTTGGAATGCTTTGTACAAGAGATCAACCTCTGACATTGATTCATTGTCATCCAGCCTAATAAACACTTGAGCTGAGATATGTGAGAAATAGTCTCCAGTAGTGATATTAGGTTGACCATCGTCTTTTGGACAGGAATAAATCACACTCATAATCCCTCAAGGGGGAATCAGACTTCCATTCTGCTATATATTTTTGTGCGTTGTGCACCACACACACAACGAGCTCACGCGCATGCAAGCATGCAAGGATTCATGGTGAATGAGGACGCAACCAGTGCTGCGTCATTTGAGTCGGAGGGTGGGGATCGCACCTTACTAAACGGTGCCACAACAGTAGCCAGCCAACAGACTTTATATATGTGTGTGTGTGTGTGTGTGTGTGTGTGTGTGTGTGTGTGTGTGTGTGTGTGTGTGTGTGTGTATATGTGTATATACACGGTCTTGTTTTTACATTAAAATGAAGAATGGATACAACAAAAGTAATACCGGCATTTCCCCGATGCTCTAAATTGAGAAAAATGTGTTGTTATACGCGCAATAAAGATCATGTACATGAAAAGGGATGTTTTGTGGCAGGACTCATCAATCATTTTGAGAGTGTCACCTTACAACATACACTCTCTCAGTAGTCGTGATGCTTTATTTGCTAGAAAGATTTAAATGGCGAGCCGACTGAAATTTGTGTGCAAATTGACTTCATGTTGGATTCAGGTCTTTTATTTACTACAAACTCATAGGAAGTATTTTTACACAGCTTTATTGCAATATTATTGTTTTGAAATTCACAGCAGAGTAACTGCAATCAATTCTTACGCTGTGTGCCACTTGCTAAATTTAAATGAATGTGTGTGTCTTCCTCAGAAACGTGAGCTCAGACGGGGCTGAGGCACGGCGCAGACTGAGGGAGTGTGACGGATTAGTGGATGCCCTGCTACATGCTCTCCAATCAGCTGTAGGGAAGAAGGATATGGATAATAAGGTTGGAGATCACCTGACTACTATTCATTTAGAGTTGGGTTGATCTTAGCGGATGCACTTAGACTAACGATGTTGCGTTGCCTATTTGCCACCTCCCTCCTAGTCTGTGGAAAACTGTGTCTGTATTATGCGGAACCTGTCCTACCATGTCCACAAAGAGGTACCGGGGGCCGAAAGGTTTCAGGACCCGTCAGCGCCACAGGCCCCTGGCTCTGCAGGGCCACAGAGGAAGAAGAAGGATGATGCTGGCTGCTTTGGAGGGAAAAAGGCCAAAGGTGAGGAAGAGAGAGAGTTTGAACCTCACGGATTAGTTACCTCTGCTTTTGCAGTTTTTATTTTTTTATTTTATTTTTTTTACATTTTTACTTTTCTTTTTATTTCAACTACTTATCATTGGATCACATCACAACCAAACATAAAAGTAAACAGTTGTTTACGTTAAAAGGAACACGCATTTTGTGGGATGAGGAGCCCAAATGCAGTATGTCTGTTGCACGCATGCCTATTCCACTGTTGACTCGTTTGGTAGATGAGACGAATAAATACTTTTCAGTGACAAGGAAGAAATACATGTTGGCATTTATACCATTTGGTCTTTGAACAAACAATCTGAAGCTTGTGGCGGAACTGTACACAGGCACAAGAGCCTGGCCCCTCCTCCCGTGATCATGCAGGTCACACACTGTGTGGGATGGCATTCCACTCTATAGCCAACCAATAGTTTTTGCAAGTCAGCACCAATCGCACGGCCAAGCTGATCCCGCAAGTATGCAGTTGGGATGCAGTTGGGTTGAGGTTAGGACGATTGGCAGGCCGTTCTTTTAAACGCTGCTTTTCAGAGGCGGGTTGTTGAAAAATCTCTTCTCAATGTCTCCCTGCTGCTCAATCATGCTATCTCCGTCAAACGACATGACTGTCTCCAATTAGCATGGTATTCTCCCTGTCTTCTCCGCACTTATGTATATGATCCACCTTCCGTCACCAGTCAGGTTCCAGGGCAGGTGATGCTGATACTAGAAGCTTAAAAAAAAAAAAATCCATGATAAATTGTGCATAAGCCGTGTGGCATAGGCATAGTGTAGATGAAAATCCATGAAATTAGATGATGCCTGGAATGCCCAGGGGGCAATTTCTGGCCCGCCATCCATTTTTAAGCAGCCCGCGTCATCTACTAAAATGACTTTGCAACTCATGTTACGACAAATTGTTCCTGCGTCTACTCTAAATATAGAGATGGGATGCACAATTTACTTTATAGAAAGCTTTTCAAGCCGTACATAAACAATACGATATTTATTTTGGTGTGCTAGATAAACTGAAAAAACAAAAATTCAAAGTGGTCCTTGCATCCTTTGATTTTTCCCGACGTGGCCCTCAGAGGAAAAAGTTTGGACACCCCTGCTGTAATGCTTTTACTCTGTTGTGCCGCTCATCCCACAAATGCACCGTCCTTCCAAATAGAGCATCATGTAAAAGGGAAATTTCCAAGAGTCCTAAATTTGTTGGCAAGAAACATTGTTACCACAGAAAAATAATCTTCCAATGATGATCCCCAGCTCAATGCTATTAAATAACTGAAATGTCTAGTTTTCATGCTCCTCTTCTCCTGTCCGTGCACTTGCATCACAGACTGGACGCTTGTTTCCACTCTAGAATTTCTTACAAATGTGTCCTATTGATCTCTCTCATCCTTTTTTTTGCCATGTACATTTAAGAGTTTGTCATCATATAAATACTATGTCACAGTATTTCTGTTGACAGTAGTGATTTCGGTCAGAATGATTTCAAAATAAGTTCTTGCCAGCCTGCTATGTGAGGAGCACGTTGGCATTATTAGGAGCATTGTTGGCTCCTTGTCAGATATTCTATTCAGATGTGTTGGAAGCAACATCTCCGCCTGTGCTCTCCTGAGCTCTTAGCAACGCAACACCGCTCTCTCTCCCTGTTGTACATGGCGGTCATTAATCAGACGGCCAATGAAGGGTGACTGCACGCTGGTGACGCCCACTATCTGACGACTCTTTGGAGAAATCTCTCCATACGTGGGTGTGAGAAACGCAGACTTTGCATGTATACACACTTGGAAAGAAACCAATTATCCACATGAACACTTTGCTGTGTGTGAGCGCGCATTAAATAATGAGTTGTGTGTAGCTGCTGCGGCCCCTCTAGGTGTTCCTTCCAAGAGCAACATTAACACAAAGCCATAAAGAAGCACCGAGCAATGCCGTTAAGTGACACGGTCGGCAAAATTGTTGGTAATTTGTTGCCTTAAGTAGGCCGCGTATTGCCTCCTCTTCAGTTTAGCGTCGCATTCCGCAGAAATTAAACTATACCATGATGATCAGCACTGGCGGAAGAGTTGTAACTTTGATTAGTTAACGAGCAGCCTAAGATTTTGATCACATCTGTTTTTTTTTTTTTTTTCTTTTAACACAGTGAATTTAATGGAGCATGTTTATGAATGCTGACAGCTTGCACTGTTGTTTTTTTTCTCTCTTGCCAATCTGATTGAAGAAATGAATTCAGTAACAATGTCGGAGTGTGTTTTATTTGACAGTTTCTGTATATTTTCCCTCAAAAAAGTATTTTGTTTTTTCTCTCTCCACTTCTTTACCCTCTTTTGTGAGTGCCTTTAAGTGTCACTCACACCGTTATTTTCATAAAATGATTTCTGTTCTCCTTTTTACGCAGCCCTTTGACATGTGAGCATGGCTTTTTCACCATGCCCCTTCTCTCTTTTCTGTGCTTTGTCTTTTTTTGGCTGCTGCTTCCTTGGCTAACTGTAGAGGAATGGTTTAATCAAGGTGAGTGCACCATATACCCTTTTTCTCTTTGTCGTCCTCATCCAACCCATTCTCCCCTCTCTCATTCCCTAGAATATAGTTAGAAGAGATGTTTTGTTGCACTTGCAAAACCTGAAATCGGTTCTACCCATTTCACATGGATTCTTGCATTTCTTCAATAGTGTTTTGTTTTTAGACCACACCCATCCGACTAGCTCCTTTTGGATATATTTGGTAAGTGACTGTGAGGTTGTAGCGTTTCCTTCATCCAGTGACTCAATCAGAAAAACTACAGATAGTTTTAATAAAAACGTAATAAGTCATACTGAAAGCTGCTATGGAGGTTTTTCTTATAGTAGGACTCCATTCATTCAATTTTTGTTACACTTTATGCTCTAAGTTTCCAAAACTCGTAAATTACAGTTGGACCCGACATTGTAATATTTATGTAACAGATGACCCAAGTGGGACTTACACCTACATATAACTGCCCTTGACGCTAATGTCTGGTCCATTAGGCTACTGGGCCTCTTATTCCAACAATAGAACCACCTTTTTAGACACAAAACAGCTTCGCCTCAGCATTCAGACTCCAGTGACAAATAATTCTTTTCATGAACGAAAGCATCAACTTTGGCTCAAATCCACAGGATATGTATTTGAAGGTTGGCAAGGAAAGGCAGCGCAGCAGTGAGTTGTTACTCCTACGCGTCTATATGTTGCAATTGTACCTTTGAAAAAAATGCTCTAATTCATTTGGCTAGAACATTGGTTTGTAAAAATGAGAGGAGCATCTCTGTTATGCAAGGATTACCTTTTATAGGTTCAGCCTGGGCGAGGCTTGATTTTATTGTTCAAAGTTGGGTGCATTGTTTTATCAACTTTGCAACAAGCTAAAACCATCCGACATCTTATCCACTACACGACTTGTGACAAAGTTCATTTGTGCACGTCACCCATCTTATTTTGTAATGATTGCTGCAGCCAGTGTGTTGTTTAATTAATGTGGTGAGACCCGCCACCGGTTATCTTTATAGAAACGAAACTAATGATAACTACCACCTTGGCTACTTGAAATAAAAAGAATGACACAGTATGAGACAGGAAGTCAGGAAAGTTACAGTGGCTTAGTGTCGTATTATGAAATAAAGCACATGTAAACTCACCCATAAGGAGGATGATGTTGCAACTAGTTTTTGGAGAGATGCTAGTCCGCAATACATCCAGCCTCACGTTGAGGGGCCCTTTAGAAAGATACAGTATCTCTATGCATGCCTGCATGGGTGTGGTCTGGTTCACTGTGTGACGTGCAAAATATAAATACGGCAGTGTCAATGTTTTTTTTTTTTTTTTTTTCTAGAGGAAGTATCAGTCAAAGTGTAAGAAAAAGAAAAACACTTGAAATCGATGACTTGTACAGGAATTAGTCAGTTAAGCTGCGGCTATTGCTGCAGTTAGTGGTCGGCTCTAAAGCGTGGAATTTGTTGCCTCAACGTGGTCCAAACTACGTCTTAAACTCAAGGATTCCACTGCATCTCTGTAACAAGAAGCATTACCGCACATCCAAGTCTTTGGATGTGACCCTCGACTCTTTTGCAACAACTAACATAGAAATATTCCAAAACTATACTCAAGTTGGGGTTCTTCAGATTTTTATCTCTCGTGGCAAAGCATGCATGGTGGCGACTCTGAAATTGTGTGCCACCGTCGATGTTTGCCGCTAAAAATAAACTAAATCTTAACGACTTTAGGCCGTGGCCCTTGGCAAAACAATAATAAATTCCTAATTGTGATATTGTTGGACTACTTGAGTTTGAGAGTTTGTTTCCTGAGCAGAAGTGGGAGATTAGTCCCGAGGTAGAGATATATCACTTCTTCCTTCCCTTAGCCCTCGTGGCCGGAAACAGGGACTAATGATGTGGTTTGTCATGGAGATCTCCATCCTGTCTCGTGGGCATTATCAGCTGGAATCACCGCACCCTTTGCATTTCCTCACATCCTTACATTAGTGAAGGTGTTTCCCTCTCAGGAAATCCTACTCATTATCATCGTTTAGATGTGTATCCAAATCAACATTTTACCATCATGGCTAACGGCCAGTGCCGTAAGACCGCACGAAACCTTCATGTTTCTTTCATACTTTACATCATATCATTTTGTAGGCTGCTTAATTGTCTCCTAGAAGTCTCCTACAGTCAAAGCTCGGTTTTCGAACGTCTCGGTTCTCCAACGTCTCGGTTCTCAACCGATTCGGTTTTCAACCAAAAATTTCAAGTTTTTTATGCCTCGGATGATGAGCAAATTTCTGTTCTCAAACGAACTGAGCGCACTTGAATGCACCATTTGACTCCTCTCGCCTTCCTTACACGAGGAAGTGACGCTTCCTCATGTTGCTTTCCATTGTGAGCAGACGTGTTCAGTAAACATTTTTATTTTAAAAAGAGCGTGGTTTCGGTTTTCGAACAATTTCGGTTTTCGAACAGCCTTCTGGAACGGATTATTCGGCCACACCTCTAAAAGTAGAGCTCCAGAACATGAATTTGAAAGAACTTGACAGCACTTAGCTCAACTCCATCAAACAGCTTTAGGATAAACTAGAACAAAGATAGCGAACCCTGAACCTACCGTCTAACACCAGTGACCTCTGACCTCTCACGTTTTTTCAATCATGTTGTTGATCTCATCCAGTAAAGCGGAAGCTGTTATAGAAGCAAACAGTAACCCCATACAGGGAGCAAATGATTTATACTTTGTCTTATATCTGTATTAAGACAATTTATTTCCACTCTAAAATGTAGCATTTTTTAAAAAATCATCCTTTTCCTCAAATAAAATCTGTCTCCGCAGAATCTTTTGAGGACTAAACATATCTTCTAACATACATATATATGTACCATACATATAAAGTAAATAAAGTAATGGACTAAAGCCATGTGAACCATGTTTTTTCGATTAGCGCATTTCTGCAATGCATGTAGTCTATGCTGTGTACGTCAGATCCAATTCTTACAGTTATGTAATTAGACCTTCTCATCCGATTTAATGTTAATGTAAAAGGGTTAATTGTATTCTGGTTTACAGACGCATGTAGTTTTTATTTCTCTCTTGTATCAGATTAGAAAGATTAAAGTGATCTGACAACACTTATATATATATATATATATATATCTAATATATATACAGTATATACATATACACACACACACACACACACACAATATATATATATATATATATATATATATATATATATACACACATATATATATATATATTCTTTATTTCTCAGTCAGTGACCTTGCGCCTTGTGCTCTCTCCTCCATTCAGGTAGAAAAAATGGTGAGAATGACAAAAACTACGACACACTGGATCTTCCGAAGCGTACTGAGCCGACAAGAGGTAGGCGCTTCACCATCGAGCGAAACGTGCCGAAACAAAATCAAATACGAGTTGATCTGAAGCAGATCACAAGTCAATTCTGTGGCACAAATTATTGGAGTTCAGTCACGTGCATGTTAACAAGCACATGGTGGTTTGCATCGCAATGGCAGCGATTCTCTGACTGCCAATGATGTTATGGTGGTTCCAAATCTTGATTTCAGTGCAGATGGTGTGGCTTCAGTTCCATCTCCTTTTTCTCTGTGCCCTGTGATTGAATGTTCACCAGGTCAGGGTATAGCTCGCCTTTTTCTTGAAGTCAGCTGGGATGTGCTGCACCTCCCTGTCACCCTAAGCAGATTATAGAAAATGGATGGCTGGAAGGGTATTTTTGTTCAAACTTGACAATAATAAGGAGACTGCAAATAATACAAAATCAGTGTCATCACATCTTGAGCAGTACTAAAATATTAAACAGTTTATTTACTTTTGATCGGCTTCACGTTTCTTTGACCATTCCAAATTATTTCAAAGCACATTATCAGACAGCCACCACTGCTATAAATAAAGTACAAATTGAAGCCAATGTGCCAAGCGTAAATAGTAGTTTTGTTCTCTTTTGAAGAGTTAAACGCACTGTGATGCCTTTGTACTATTGACACAACAAGATCCTTTGCTGTGATCTCATTTTTGCTCACTGTGCAGCGATTTGGTTGGTGTGCCCCAGCAATCGCATGTTGCATACTGTCTGCATGTCTTGTCCATTCGGATTGAGGATTGGGTACAAATGTGACATTCCTACAGTCAGGTGTGAGTACTTTATTTGGACTTCCAGTACAACACAGCGCAGCTCCATCAATGTCTAGTGACAGAAACTCAAGTAATTATCACTTCCTTCTCGTCGGACCTATGAGCATTAAACACAGCATTAAAAGCAGGTTGTTCCTTTTTCACCTGCACTGATTTTCAGTTCAACTCACTCATTTGTAAGGTTCGATTTGAGTCAAGCTGATGAGTGAGAACAAGACAAAGTCAACAGTCTACTGTTGTCTTAAATGTCATCCGCCATGTACATACAAAGAAATCTCATTCCATTTCATCGCCAACAACAGCACAATGCGTTGTTAATGAGGCTGCGTTCACGCAACTCGGTTCAAGTGACACAATTCAGTTTGTTTCGTTCTCAAGAGGCACAATTCGCATATGCTTCATGGCAGCAAAGGAGAGACGAAGCATGGAATCGGATGTCCTCAGATCGTAATCCGGCACCATCCAAACGTGGCTGAAATCTGATGCGCCAATACGGACAGATCGCCATCAATGCAAGCCGACGTCATTGAAATACCCCAAATGATGACGGACACACAACCGTCTCAACAACAGCGCAAATAACAGCTATGGGACAGTAGGGGTGTATTGATCATTAAAGAAGGAAATTAATTGCCAATGGCAGTACTTGTTTAAAGCAGCGGAAGTTTTGTGAATGGAAATATTGGCATACAGAAAGTCAAAAGAAATCGGATATAGGCATTCCATTGGAATTGGGCCTGTGGACCGAAAGTGTAAATGTCATCTGAGTACCCCTTAAAGATTTGCTTCTATAAAGGTAAATCTGTTTTTTTCCCTTTGGTACTCACTATAGTGTCAGAGAGTTGGCAGAGAGACTGAGAGCCGCCCTTATTCAATGCAGAGTTTTGAAGAGATATCGCAGATTTCGTGCCTTGATTTGATCTTGTACCATGAAATCAATGGCCAGGGTCATTCTGGCAGTGCAAAATGTTTATTTTTCTTTTGTGATTGGGCATAATGTTATTACAAATCCAGTTGAGTAATTTTGAAGAATTGAAAGAGTTAAATGGTTATTTTTGTTTGCCATTGGATTCCAGAATAACACGAACACATTAAGTTGTTTTGGAGCAAGCGGATGGTTATTTACCCTTACGTTTTTGTTTTGTTTTTAAATTTGTTCTATTTGACAGCATGCTCATGCAGGTGGGTTATTTTTGGTTAATGGTACTGTGGTGAGTGTTCTTTGGAAATGCAGTTACACTTAAGAAGCTTTGAGAGGGGACAGACGGAGAGAAATGGAGAGAAATGAGAGAAATGTGAAAGAACACACACTTATACAATACAGAACTATAGCAGCATAACCAAGGTGTTTGACATAACTCGATCTGTCTATATTATGTGGCCTGGGAATGGAGTCACACTTAAATAGGAGTTACAATTTGACTCATTTGGTGTAATCAACATAAATATAGTATTTGCTCTGTAGCAGCGATATTTAATATCTTTGTCCATCATGGACACAACCTTTCGATAAGGACACTTATTGGTGCTCCATTATTCTGTTGGATCAGAACAGAGACAGAGCCCGAAAAAAGATTACAAGAGAAGCAAACATTAAAAAGCATTTTAGAGCTTTGGTGAGTGCAGGCACCGCTGAAATGAGGAAACTATTTTTTTTCCCCCTGCAGTTAATGGAAACCTCAGCAAAACCTTGAGGCTGGAGGGCGGTTAGTAGAGGGAGGAGGAGATGGAGGAATGAGAGCTGAGAAGTATGCTGCCTTAATTAGGATTTTTTTCCCCCATAAAGCTACTGTTTTTTCATTGTTTTATGTAACACAATAATCAACATTTATCTTAAACGTGGCATGTCTGTCTGTATGTTAACATCCACACATAATGCAAATGTTAGTCTAAGAGGGAAAAACAGAAGAGTACCTTGGGGTCCTCATACGTGGCAATGGATGCACACGCAGATGAGGCCGCTAATTTGGTTCTCTTGAAAAGCCATTCTTACTGCGTGCAATACGGCGCGCTGCAAATGAGAGCCTAACGAGTCAAAGCCGTCACTGCAGACAGAGTAGATTAGTGGTAAATTTTCAGAAGGCTGTTGTGGCTTTCCTCCTCCAATTACAAGTATTTTGATTGTATTAAGGCTGTCGCTATCAAATAATTTTGGAATCAACTATTCCATCAATTAATTGAATCACCCGGGAACATTTTAAATAACAAATACTCACCAACCTTTTGAAAACGATTCAGTTATCGGTTCAGTCATTTTGGATGATCAGTCTGCTTTTATAAAGAACTAAAGAAATCAGAGAATCAATTAATTCAATCACCCGGTAAAATTTTAATTTGCATTTAAGTGTACTAGCAAACCATTTTTTTTTTTCCAGAGTTACTGTTTATTCCCCATTCATCATTAAAAAACAAATACTCACCAACCTTTTGAAACCGATTCAGTTATCGGTTCAGTCATTTTGGATGATCAGTCTGCTTTTATGAAGAACTAAAGAAATCAGAGAATAATTACTGTTGAGAGTCTGAAATCTGAGGATTTGACCAAGTCAAACCATGACTCGAAACAATTACTCAATTAGTAAAATAGTTGTCAATTAATTTGATAGTGGATTAGTTGTTGATTAATCAATTTCTTTTGACAGCTCTTCTTTCTATATTTTAGTGTATTTTTACACTGTACATGTTCGGATGTTCTTTTTCCATACAAAAACCCCCCAAAAAACAAACAAAACAACAACAACAACAAAATATACTGTACCAGACTGAACCAGACAACACTGGTGCTGTTTGCGATTGAGCGAATGTGGAAACATTACCATTCACACTCTCTCTCAAATGTTTGGCTTGTCGCCATTTCGTGCCTCTCAGAGTATGCGACTGTTTTAAGATGAGCTTCAGCAGCCAGGATTGAGCATCGATGCTGCAATGTCCCTAAAAGTGATGTGATGAGTTTTCTTTCTCCTATTCCGTTCAGTCATCGAAGCAATTAGGTATTATATTAGAAAGGCCGCCGCCTGTTTGCCTTCTTGCTTTTGCACTTTCCCCTTGGCAACGTTTTCCATTGTTCTGCCGAAAATCACACATTGTACAATTGAGAAGACGGACGTTTTTTTTTTTTTTGTTTTGTTTTCTTCAATTGACAGCAGCTGTGTAATGCGTCTCACTGCTTTGTCTTGCAAGACAAGAGTGTTCAATTTGTGAAGAGGTCTTAGCGCAGACAAACAGTTCTGTATCGTATTGTATAACCCTCTTTGTTATCATCCCACAGGAGATCTCTATTTGTGGAATAATGAACACAGACTCCTGTGCTGCAGCGTTGATGAGCTCTCTGTTGCACTGAAAAGTGTGAGGCTCGATTGAATTAAGAAAATGTGAGCCACGCTTCTGTTCTTCCATTTCGCTGCCGTCACTATGCATATTTCACTAAAAGGCGTACTGACATGAATCTGATTCTTCTAAACAAAATCACCACTCCTCCCCCACCCCGAGGCATGATGAACATCCTGGTGCAGTGAGACCATTTGTTCAGGAAGATCCTTTTTTTTTTTCTTTTTCCAAGATAAAGCATTTTTGCGCCTTTAAATGCCAAGCCTCCAGAGTGGTACAATTATAGCTCATGGGAAGAAAAGTACTACATCTGCAGTTCATGTCATTTCAAAAAAGAATATTGTAAATGATAGATTGTGCGCTCCAAATTCCAAGCAGCAGTCTCACATACCGTCGCTTCTCTGTTTTTGTGGGTAGAATTTCACACCAAGACAGAAAACGCTGACGTTGGATCTTGCAGATGTATCGGTTGCTGCAGTAAACCTCTCACTCTCTTGTTCAGACTAAATACATCAGTTATGCGCCAGGGATGCCTCCCCAAATTCACCCCTTCTGCCTCACTTCCTCCTTTTGTCACAGTTCATACAAAGGTGAGACTTAATTACTGTGACAGCCGCATGAACATGACTGGACATATGGATCAAAAAACACATGCACACAAGTCTAAAAAAAAAAAAAAGGCAAACGGATCATATCCTCATAATGTACAGGAAAACAGGGAACATGCATTTTTTGTTTGTTTGATCCATAGACAGGGTAACTGTTCATTGATTGTCCCCATTGAGCAACATATTACCATCTGGTGTGATTCCGAAAAGCCCCACACTTGCAACGTGTCTGTCACATTCTTTGCTCTATTTTTGGTAATGCCACCACAGAAAAAA